ATCCTGGAAACTTTTAGTTACCAATATCAATCAGTTCGTGATTACAGAAGCAAATGCATTAGTCGAATGGAGACGGTCAGAATGTACACAAACAAAAGAAGCTTAATCATGATAGCAATACTATCTGGTGGTTTATTTTGGTCAGGGGACAATAGATTAACTGAGACACAGTACAGTAGTCATCAAATATGGTACACCTTGTACTAAGATAGTCATTTGCAAAGTGTGCTTCATTTCCTCTTCTGTTTCTATCTTGATTTTGCGCTTAATACACCCACCTTGTTTGTATCTTGGGTTTCTCTGGACACAATCTTTATCCATTGCTGGTAATTGCCTATGATTTCTGCTGCCCTCTCAACATATACTACTTATGTCGATTCTGATCAGCAACGCCCACCACAGAACAACTGAGAGGATTCACATGACAGTGAGGTCCACTATATATTGGTTGTCAGATGTTGGTAATCCTGGACCTAGGCTTTGGGCTTGTCAGCATTTATGACCTACGGCAAACAGAAGTCTCTTCAAGAAATTGAGTTGGTGTTACTGAATGCGGAAGTCATAAACCTTACCATTTAACTATTGAAATCACAATTGACTCCCTGCAGAATTCTGTATACCTTAATAGCGTGTCTTAGAACGTGACTGCTTTTTCGTTTCCTGATCAGTACGCCTGCACGGAGATCAGTAACTGATACCCAGTCGTTTAGATAACCACAGGGAGTTAGAGGTTCCCATTGTGTTGTAGGCTGATTGGACACTGATATAGTTTCTTCTTCAAAGCTAGTTGGCTCGATACTTAAGCAACACAGTAAAGCATTAATCGGTTAATATTGATTTATTTGATACCAATTATTGGTCTACAGAATTACCACCCCTGTACAGGGGTGGTGGTGAGATTTAAGTCACTGATTTGAAAAACATACTTTACGGTAAACTATAGTATCATGGAGAAAATGAGACGTCTATACTCCGGCAAACCACCGCATCCCATTGCGTTTAATCCGTTTAATATACATGTGGTCACACACAGAAAGGGAGGACACATCAGTGTATCCAAGTAAGGGACACAGTTTACATTCAAAATGACTACAGGAACAAGTCAAAAATAATAATCTTATTGGTCCATTCTGGTAGAAAAAATGCTACAGATTTGGTCCACCAGGGTGAAAGCATCCATGTGGCTGCACCACAGGATGAGATTTTATACCGTCCTGTTTTAAAAAAAACCCTAGATGTTTGCTCTTTTCTCTCCTGAAAACCAATGTATAAATATTCGTTCAAATGACGGATATGCATCATACTCCTGCAGATTTCGGAAGATGAAGTGAATTTTCAACATCTAACAGATACTAATCACTCAATAGAAAAATGTAGACCTTGTATAGGCTTTCAACTGAAATCACTAAGAGAAAGCTGTACAATATCTTCGTCCATTGCTGAACATCTGAAGCCTATCGTAGAATAAATATCAAATTTTTGTGATCAATGATTTCATAAAGATGGAGTACTAATCCAATACTTTTTCTAGTTCATTTTATTATAACATTGTAAAGCGGCTAGTGAGGAGTGTAAAACCATTGAAAAGGGTGACATATAAACACGTTAAAGAAGATGTATTTGTTAGGTATAGTAGATCCCAAGAAAGGGATGCTTTAAACGAAAATTTTATCAATGTTTTGACCTTTTTCGACACATACGCATCAGTAACTACTACCGCTTTCAAGAATGCTATTTCCCTTTTGCTTAGTATCCCAGTTTCAATATCCTTATTTGTTTGCTCACCCGTAGGATGTTCACATGACAATATAAACACAAGAGACTGAATTAAATTCTCTCCAATTCAACACTGTCTTCTTCATTTTTTGAACCAAGTAAGTTGTAGAGTATCGTATCGTTCATCTGGTATCTAGATTACACATTCCAAGTTAACCGTATCCATAAATCTCAACAGTATTTGAGTTCAACTATTCAATTAAATATATTCAATTAAAAAAATTGTTTATTGTAGAATTTCTGTTAGAATAATTGGAAAAAAATTGACAAGAAAAGTTTATTTGATTAAGAAATCAAATGCATGACTTTTAGACAAAAATAATCTGCCGGATAATTGAAGTGATTCTAAGGATCACTGTAGCAATGTGGTTATTTCATTTACAACAAAAGATCAGAATGACAATTTCAGTAGCTACTCAGACAAAATTTAGAGTCACTCAATAATTCCATCTAATATTTAAGTTAAAATGAATCCATTCAAATCACCTCAACATTAGATGAATGATAGACGAGTGAATCAAAGAATCTTCTTGTAAAACAATAATCTGCGACAGCCATTCAACTAGTTGACAGAACTGTCTGCTTACTATTAATGATAGATAGTGGCTAATGATGGAAGGCAGAATGTTTGTTCCGTCTCCGTCAGTGAGTGATGCTGTTCTCGCTGGGATCCGAACTTGAGACCGATCGGTTTAAATGCTAATGTATTATCCATTATGCCACTCAGTCACGGTAGCCACTCCTGGCCTGAAGAGTATAGTACAGTTTTGATGCTGTTGCTTGCAATTACCCGTTGCTGATTCGACCGACTACTACTTGTAGATCGAATCCACAGTAGACACCTCGATATCGCAGGTATTTTTTGCTTTGAGGAAGAAATGAGCTGCTTGGTTTCCTCTACTAGCCACTACTCATCAGAAATATATCAAAGCTGAAAATATCCGCGAAATTGAGGCATCCGCACAGGATTCCATTGACGCATATTGATTGATCGATTTGATCCAATCTACGATGCAGACTTACAAGCTACAACATTACATCTGTTCATGTTGCCATTAAATGCAAAGTAAAAAACTGTAGGCAGTCAAGCCAATCTATATGATAGAAGTCTGTTTGATTTCACACTCAGTTATGTTTTAAGCACTAAAATTATGAACAAAAATGGGTAAACGACAGGTTATCAGTGATGTGTAGAATAACTCGTGACATATTTGCATAGATATATCACTATCAACAAGAGAAGTCGAAAGGAAGTAGTCCCTTTCATCTACCTACCTAGGTAGCTTCGTTTCAACTTCAGACGGCACAGGCACAGGTGACGATGTCAAGGCCAGGATCGGAAAGACAGCAAGGCAGGCCTTCCTGCACCAATCTGGAATAAGCACTGCACTGCAGTCAGCATAAAGCGTGAACGAGATCCAGATTTTCAACACTAATTCAGTCAAATCAGTGCATCTAAGTGAATGTTGAGAGACTTTGCACATTACGAAAAGCATTTTCAGCAAACAGCTGTTTACACTCGATGCCGAAGACGGAGATCAGATGGCCAGAAAAAATAAGCAACAAGGAACTCTGGGAACGAGCCAACCAACAACCTGTCACCCAACAAATGACAAGTTCGGCCTCCGAGGGTGATATGGAGGAGATGGTGTGAGGAAGAAATGAAAGCTTGTGGGCAGTGGTAGAGCCGGGTTAAAACGACTGCAGTGAATAGAGTGATCTGGCGACATGCTACTGAAGTCCTGTGTTCCACTAGGAACCTAAGGGACAAATAAAAATTATATGTAAGTAATAGATCACATATCATTGTGAGTGTTGATTGAACTCTTTACTGCTGTGTGAATATCTTTTGAAAGTACAGTTTAGTTATTAGGGTTACGTGAATTTGTAACATCATTGGAATAAAAGTGGGTTTTACTACAATGTGGTCTTTTGTGCAAACACTCGATTCTGTGAAAAGATTACGGTTGAGATCAGAATTCCATCCGGACAGTGAAATGTAAAAGCAAATTATAGACCTTGTGATACAGTACGCTTCCACATTAGATCAATATACTTTCGTATAGCATAAAGGCGTGCTCATACACTTGCAAACTCTTATGACTAGTGTTTATTAAAAATTAAATATCGGGGAAATCTACGGTTGAAGAGTCTACTTGAGTCTTGCCATGAGGTCAATTGCACCCTAAACAGCTCAGTGGTATCTTGACTAACTACGGAACTGACTGACACGGATTCCAATCTCTGAGGGGATATCACTTGCATTAAGGTTGCAGACACACCTTAGTGATAAGTGCCAACAGACAAAAAACTTAATATGAAGTAGGATTTTTTTTTCCGACTGCCTCCAACTACCTAAAACGTTTGAAGAATTTCTAACATAGACTTCACTAAATTTTGAAATGTATTTTAAAAGAAACGTTTTTGTAAATGAAAATCATCTGAGAAAAATTTATTCGGAATCATCAGTCAGTCTCAGGGAAGTAGCCTCACGCGAATTTCAGTCCAACTTTTGTGATTTATCGACAAAAGAGAACAGAAAGATGTTTTTTTTTGAAATTAAAAACTAAGGGGGGCGGTCAGCATCTGTTTTATCTCAGTTTCCCACACCAAAATACTTTGTGGCATCATCTTCAAGTGGAACAGATTATGTATCATACAATTATCACAGCGAAGGCGATAATATTCAACCAGTCATCTAGTTTGTATCTCTAGCCCAGTCTGCTTACAATTTGTGAAAGTCATCATCTAGTGTCATCAAAGGGTGCCAACGATTAGTTGCAATTTATGTGACTAGGTGAGCCATAGGGGTCATTCAGTTCCCATGCAAAATTTCGCACTCATCACTAATTCTCATGTATAGCTATAGGATAGGTGAGGACCCCTTGATAACTCCTATCTACACTATCTATAGATGAAATCAAGAACTTAACGTCTAGATTATTCGTTTCATCACTAACCCCTTGAAACCCTGGGTTATGTCCAATAATCGATTACCGGATTATGATGAGAATGTAGCCGTCAAGTCTGCTGTGTTGAGTTCTTATCAGAGTCTATCGGACATGTCAGTTATGAATGAATTTTTCATCAGTTGAAAGACCCCTGGAAAGAAGAAATTATGAAGCCCCAGATTCCGATGTCAATTGACCGACAGCATGGAAACATTAAATCATGATGTAAAAATTCCTATCTTCTTCATTCTGTAATGTCTAACATTCGAAGTAGTATAAAATACCTATGTTGCTTTTATTTACAGTAGTAACAGTTGAAAAGTAGGTAACAGTCAAACGGTTTCTCCTTAATTTACAAAATAAAACACACAAGATCTACAGTTTGACATACTGACAAGTCAATAGATGAATAGTCAGATGGATGGATAGACAGATACATTGACACAGTACATATTATATAGGGGGAGAGAACGAGCGAGAAATGACACTTCAAAAAGCCATCACAGAAGCAATAAATATGATACAAGTACACAATGATGAATACGAAAAACACTAGACAGAAAAATAGGACTCATATTTCTGTGCTCTGTAAAATACATTGAACATATTGAATATATACGTGTAAAAGTATACAGAAAGGATCAGCTTTTGGATAACCTAAATATTCTTTAATTTGAAAACTCTGACACCATCTTATGAGTATATGTATGCAGAAGGAAATTGAAATGCTGCAAATCTTTTGTTTATCTTTCTTCAATATGTAATCTGTTCACTGTTCAATATACTGGAAAACATTTTTCATTTAAAAATGAGACTTATGCCTCCGTGAGTTCAGTTGGTGGTCTATTCATTGTTAAGTTTAGACTGTTGTGTGTAAATCTATGTCTAGTCGAAGCATCTGAAGTCCCAGTAAATCGAGGAAATACAGTAAAACTTTTACGTTTATTAAAATGGGATTTATTCTCTTTTTCTATTGTGTTTATCGGTGTAGTTTTATCCTCCAGTTCTTTGTCATTTCTACTATTTACTGTTGGAGCAACACAAATACTTTTGGCTCTTTCTCTTGCTCGTTGCTTTCGCATCACTTCTCTAGCAACCATCCGACTAATATGCGCAAAATCATCTAGATCTGATAGTTCATCACTTGTTGAAGCGAATAAATCTGAGGATTGTTTTTGAAGTTGTGTCTTCTTCTCATCACTGTTGACTGGTTTCTTTACATTCGTTTTACCATGAAAGCTGAGACGGTGTCTTATTGGTTTATCTATAGTTCCACGCCTTTCGGATGGTCTACGCTTTTGTGAGAATAGATGTATGCTTGTACTGATACGTCTTGATGAATTTTTCATATACATAGAAAGTTGTCTTGACTTTTTTTCTCTCACTGAAGAATTCCTGTCTTGTGTCTCTTTTGTGGCAGCAGTCAGTGTTGATTGTGAGCTCATTTGGGCGTTCTGTTGTTCTTGTTGTTGCTGTGATGCCGATGATGTTACCGGAACATCCATAGATGTCTGCTCATCACTGACCTCCTTGAGTGTTTCATTTCGTGTTATATAACTATATGTAATGCTTAGTGGATTGTCTTTCAAGGTTTGTATGAAGCCTATTGGATGGTATTCTTCTGTTATTGAACTCTCTTCATCAACAAACGGTATCGATGCAGCATATGATTCAGACAATTTAATTTGAAGGGTGTTTTGACCTTTGTAGTCTTCCTCAGTTAAATCATGTTTTGAAGTACAACTGTTATTCTTATAGTCATCATTTCGGCGTCGATTAGTTTTCAGAAGACGAATATTACTGTAATCATATTTCACTTCAGTTGTTTGTGTATGAACATCGACTTTGATAATTTCCGGTAAAATATCTAATCTTTCATTGTCACTATGGTTACTGTGACAAGGAATATCAGAAAGTGGAATGATAGACATAGAGTTATTCAATTTCTCTTTCACCTTATCTATTTCAGAAGGATGTATTTTTGTCATTGTCGTCTGGGGGATAGGTATAGTTATGCTAAGGACATGTTCACCTTCTAATGAACTTTCATGCTCATACTTCATTGAATCGACATCAGGTAATGGTTTGAGTAGATTAGGAGTAAAATATCTTGAAGTTGAAGGTAACTGATAGTATGAATTATTTACAGCATTCATGTGTACCTCATGGGATATAGATGGTACTTGGAGTTCATTGTGTTGCTGCTGCTGTTGTTCTACATCATCACCTTCTTGGTTATTTTCATTACGTGAAACTTGGCTAGCAGTGTTTAAAAAGCTACTTCTAGGTGTTGGTAACATACCAGAAGATGGGAATAAACTAGTCTGCTTTGTCGAGGGATCCAGATAACTCATTGTACCAAAGGATATACCACTAAGACGTGATGATGTTCTACGACGGGATTTTGTATAAGATGTTGTTTTCGTCTGTATAGACTCCTTAATTAACTTACCATATTTACCTGTAGATGAAATAGTATCTGTCGCCTTTTCATGCTGTTGATTTGTACCAGCAATTATATTTCCTGTACCCATTGGACCATTGGAATTTTTTGAACCGTAATGTCGACTACTATTAGAGTTTGAAGCTCGTGAACTATTTCTTGTATGTTTGACTAGATCAGCTATCACTGCTTCACTAAGTACACGACGTTCAGAATATTCATTTAATGATTTAGCCAGTGGTTCAGTTAAATAACTCTCATTGTCATGGTAACGAGTCATATGTCTAAAATGATCTTTCCGATTTAACCATTTAAATGATAATTGACAAGTACATATAGAACCACAACAATAACATATGTATACACTTAATTTTGGACCAGTTGAGTCGGTTTCATAGTCTCCTTCATTGAGTTTTTCTTTATTTTGCATCCTGTCAGCATCACATTCATCACCACCATCAACACTAACTACATTATTATTTTCATAACGATTCACTTGTTTTCGAATATGTTGCATTGTCAACTTTTTAGTAAAACAAATACGATATTTATCTCTTAAGCTTTGTACAATATTCAACAGATCATATTTACTAGGTTTGAATTGTTTTAATTTTTGTCCTGTCTTCTTTGTCATGGTAAAGACGAATTTTTTGAACCAACCATATAGCCAAGGGTTAATACATGCGGATGTCATGGCTAACAGTTTCAGACTTAAGTCTAACAGTTTGATGTTTCCACCAATTGGGTGTAAGGTGTAATTAATACGATAATTCCTAGACATTTGGTGAATAGAAGCTTCATCAGTTGTAGCATCATTACTACTATTCCTTGAAATATTGTTAGCATTACTATTATTAGCAGTAGTATGACTTTGATTGTCTGTGTTCAATGTTGAATAATATTTGTTTAAATGCATCATTTTATCCTCCAATGTTGTATAATACAAATTTGAATCTAGTCTATGATTTAAATTTAAAGCGTTTTTTTGAATTTCATAAGCATGTATTTCAAGCCATAGAGAAAAACATGTCCATGGTGTCCAACAAACAGCGAAGCAGATGACAATTCGTATTAAAATTTTATTAGTACGACGTTTTCGTTCAACGGAACCTTTACGAAAACGTCTTTCATGTAGACGATAATATATATGTCCATATAAACCAGCCGTTAATGTTAAAGGAATGAAAAAGTGTATCAAAAATACAATAACCGAATAAAATAATCTTGATTCAGGATTTGGCCAATTTTCTACACAATAACTATGTGTACTTCTTGGTATAAACTGATGCATATATAGTTGTCGTTCAAATGCTATATCCAATCCAGTTGTACGAATTGCATTACTCACCATATTGAATAATGCTATAGGTATAGCATTAATAATACTGATAATCACAGTAAATCCAATCAATATTAAGGCTAATTTAACTGACATACGTGGTCTTAATGGATAGATAATAATCTGATATCGATCACATGCAATCAATAATATAGTTAAACATGATATATGCATTGGTAAACCGAAACATGCAAATATAAACTTGCATAATACTTCATTTTTTAAGATAATTGTCTCTTTCAATTCATAGTAGGCTTGTAAAGGCATATTGAAACTGCACAATAATATATCTGAGATGGCGAGAACAAGTACAAAGATATTAGTAATACTGGTCAATGCACGCCTACGCATAAATAATAGAATATAAGCTACAATTAAATTTGATGTTATTCCCATAAACGCAAGAATACCATAAATAATAGCTAAGATTAGTTTAATCCATAAAATTCGATGTGTACCAAATTCTGGTCGGCCATAATTTACATGTAATGCTAAAGCTTGATGTTCATTATTAGTAATATTATTATATTGAGTAAAAGCATAGCTATTATCCTTTTCATGTATATATTGAATATTGAATAGATGTTTGAATGAATCAACTGTTAAATTGTCAGCTGCATAATTTTGAATTAAATGTTGAAAAATTGACCAGTTAGTTGAATTATATTGATCATAATATTCAGTTGTTTTACTGAAATGATACATTTCTGTTGGACATAATAGTAGAATAATTAAAAGCCAGTGAGTGAATTCATTTAAATTCATTTTCTGATTTTTTTTTCTCTAGAGAAAAGAAAGAACAACAAAAATTAGAAATGATGAAATTTTACGGGACGAAATTGATTATTTAGTCAACAAAAACATTGTAAAATGATCACTGGCAGTCACTGGCTTCAGCCTCACAAAGTTGGGCATGTGCAATGGTTGGAAACCCGAATCTCGGTTGAACTGGACACATCCCAGATGAAAACCAGAAAACCTACAGTCTCTAAGACACCATTGTTCCTAAGACTACAATTTCGAGGTGACATCATCAACGAAACTGTGACACAACGCTTAAGAAATGCCATTTAATGCCGCCAAGTTGTGTTGTATATTCTACAGTCGGCCGATGATGACCACATGAACTAAAGACAGACTACCTGACTTCTCTTCTTCTATGTGCATTTACCAGTTCAACTGCTCCTGTGGAGCTAGTAACATTAAACTTACAGTTAGGCAAGTCCATCATCGAATCGCTGAGCATCACCCTTCAATGGCTAAGTAAGGGGCAAACCAGATCGATATGAAGCTCAATACTCTCTCATCTGATTGACACCGACCAACGAGTTAACATTCATAACGCCTTTAAAGTTATTTATCAAATTCCTTCTAACCTCACCCACGCTCTACGAGTTCGTCTTTTACATATAGCAGAAGCCATAGGAATCCACCTGAACAAGTCAAGTCTCTGTGTTCAGAAGAGATTCGTAAAGGCTCTTTCTTTGCCTTGCCCATCTGTATAGCTCATTTATTACAACAAGACTCTTCATTTCATCCACCACACAATTGCTTATAACTGATATCTTAATAGCTCTATTATTGTTATTATTATTATTACTGTTATTGAAATGATGGAGAATATTTGTATTGTGTTCTCTGAGCTGGGTTGTTTAATCGTGAAGCTTTCATAGCCTTGCTAGACAACATCATCAACACTAACTTCAGTATCAAGTCAGCTGTCAATATCTCTCCATCAGTGATTTAGTAGCTTGCCTTGACAAAGTGGTCTGTGATTGGTTGTTTCCTTCGATTGTTGTGTCATTGATTATATAGACTTTCCTGTTGGCTGTTCCCCTGCTTCACCTCTCACCTTTCTGTCGTTTATCATTCTTCTCATTGGTTGATAGATTTGGGTCTACTTCTATACATCTGTTGATTGCTGACTGACTGACTGACCTGAATGCAAAGCTTCTAGGAATTCTCTGATGTTCTTTGTGTTTCCTCTGTGCGTCCAAAATTTCTACATTGTCGAAATTGAATTCATGTCTATAGTTGTTATCCACATGCATTGAAATGAGTGACGAAATATCGTGGCGTTTAATAGCCAATTGGTGGTCATGTAGACGAAGGCGAAGAGGGCGGCCGCTTTGTCCAATGTAGTGCTGACTACAGTTATTGCAGTTGATTTTGTAAATGATATTCGGTTTGTGTTCTTTGTTTGTTGCATCCTTTGGTCTGCATAATAGTGTTTGCAGGGAATTTGTTGGTTTATGAGCCACACCAGTTCAACCAAGTGGTCTCAGTAATCTTGTTGTGATTTCTGATATATTCTTTATGTATGGTAGGATGATACGTTTATTGATTTCCGTTGATGACTTTGTAGTTGATGATGCACTGACGGGATAGGCATCTTGTGATAAAGTTTCGTGGGTATTCCCGTTCTTATTTGGGGTGGACATCAAATAACTTTCTTCGTTTCTTCGTGAAGTTGTGCTACAGTGTGTTCTCGCTATTTTGAATAGAGTCTGCACGTAACTGATTTTATGTGTTATTGGGTTGTTGCTATTGTAGTTGAGGATTTGGTAAGTGTGTGTTGGCTTCCTGTACACTTGGGTTTCCAACTTTCCGGCATTCGTCCTACTGACTAAAACATCCAGGAATGGTAGTTGGTTGTTTGACTCTTTCTCCATTATGAATTTGATGTCATTGAAAACGTTGTTGGGCAAACTGTGGGTGTTTTCAATATCATCCTTTTTAGTGATGACAAAAGTGTCGTCTACATAACGAATCCAAATTTTTGGTTTGATCACAGGTAGAATCATGGCTTCCAGTCTCTGCATCACTGCTTCTGCTACTAATCCGGATATTGGTGATCCCAGATTTGTTGGGGAGTCTATAAGAGCCTAAGAGTACTGAATATCTGTTTTGTCCTAGTATGGGACTCTTCAGCAGCAAGCACGTACGACCTCACCTGGGTTCGAAATCAGGACATCTAGCTGTCACAGCGAACTCGTTAGCTACTTAGCCATCTGGTCGCGATATACCGTGACTATCCACCAATATCTTGAGTTGGCTTCAGCTTCAATTCCGGCTGGGTGACCTAATAAGTCATGACTTCTCATTACAATTTAAGGACATCTATCTCAAAGCATATCATTAGTGAGCACTATCCAGTGTTTTTGACCTATTGAATTGACCAGTCGGAAGTGAAGCGGATGCCAACTGAAGACCTTGGGCGATAGTCGCGCTATCTGATGAAACTGTAAACCACTGAACTCCGACCCGGTGACTGAATGATTAACGCGTTTACTGTGTAACATGAAAGTCCTGAGTTCAATGTTAAGTTGGGTTGTGGGTGCGTGCAATTGAGGGACCTCATACTAGGACGAATCAGCTGTCCAGTACTCTCAGTTTTTCAATGGTTCTTCAACTGATATCAGTCCATGATGAATAATACCTTAATTATTGATTACTACTTATTGACATTCGCATATACACTATGCTTGACTACAGTTCAAGTGAAGGATTTCTTAATGAACTTCAGTTCGAAGTGATGAAACAGTGGTTTGTAGGAGTCATCTAGAAAAACAAATAGGATGAGTTAAACACTTATGAGGAAGAAAAATAATTTGAGTTAGATAAGACATTCATGAATCCTGATCTTGGATAACATTCAGCATGCCTGAATGAGGGGACAGGTTTTCTGTTTATCAGGTCAGTATAGGATGAATGATCCATTTCACCTGTGTTCACTGTTGACCTTCACTTTGAAGCTTCACCTCTATACATCAACACCTTTTAGCTTAGCCTATATAAAGTGAGTGGGTGTACATTAATTCCTAAATATTGCTCTTTGACTGAAATTATGTAGTCTGATCGAATACTGAAGGGTAGTCTAGGTATCCGTTTGAGAGAGCAATCAGCTGTACATATGATATAATTACGCTTACATCTAATTGGACGATATATGATTTCAATATTGGTCATGATTCATCTGCAAATTGTCTACGAATGGTACAGTCTTCACTGACAGTGAAATTACTCAGATTAACTGGCTTTCAAAATGTACGAATCTAGGTGATTACTTGTCAAACTATTTATCCACATCATTCAATTGTATATCATTGTCACTATTACAGTTGTAAGCATGTCCACATAACATCGGTATACAAACAAAGTAGTACACACATTTCATTATCATGTGCGCAGCTATTAGTTAGGCTTTTGATAGAACAAACCAATTTAAATATCTTGGATACTTTATAAGTATTGAAAATTTATGTTTCCAAGTAAACAGTTGTTCAGCCCATCCTTGAAGGATAGACTCATCTTTTGGATACCTCACTGGGAATTTACCGGTATACTTGTTCCAATGAAAGCATCTTCATCGCTGGTACACAGTATCAAGTCTACAAACAAGCACTGAAATATTCTTCATCATTGCTAGCCAGAGAGGAGAGAAGAAATGTCATCATCCCCACTATCGATTACCATGTCATCTCTAGCAGTATCTTCAAAGTAATTTGGAAAGTTATTCAAATCCATTGAAAGGTACTCCGACCATGTCATTTACAATTCAGAACATTCAACTTAGTTTTTGCTTTCAAATCATTACGTAACTCATCAACCATGTAATAGTAAGAGTCGTAGTCATTTTGTTTTAAAGGTTTTTTTCTGATTTCTTATCACATTTTTCACTATGTAATTCAGTTTGCGCCCTAGCAGTTGGAATTTTTCATTGGCTAAGTCAGTTTAATTGAATTTAGCAGTTTGTGGGGATTCAGAGATTTTTCAAGTTGGTATTCATTATGGACGGACATCAGTTGGAGAAACATTGGAAACTCGAGAGCATTGGACAGCTGTTTTGTCCTAATGTAGGACTCTTCAGCAGTATACACTGACTACCTGCTAGGGATTGAACCCGCAACCTTCAAGTTCCATGGCCAGCACGTTACCATTGAGCCAGTGGGTTGGAATCCAATGGTCAATATTTTTTGCTCCTTTCAGTTAACCCGATAATGCTAACACCACCCAGTGTCATCGTTGAGTATTTGTCCTCACGGTCAGCACGTTCGCACCATCGGTCACCACTTCTCATTGGAACTTCGAGAATTACCTCACAAAGCTAGTCACCAATGAGCACTAGTTCAACCTAATTTGGGGTGTGTCTAGGGTTTTTGAAATTTTCAAGTTGGTATGAGTCATTGTACACGCATTACTTAAGATATGTAACTGCTCTCAGTTTCCAGCCCTTCCTTTCCGTTCTATAGTGTGCATTCTGCTAGCCAACACCTTTCCAGAACAAACTATCACCAACTGAATGGCTTCATTCAAAATCTACTGAATGTAAATATGACTGGACAGCTCCTAAAAATGAGATTCTCAGAAAATGTTTGATTTGCCGCCAGAAGTATCCGTCATTTCGATGGTTTGCTCAACAACAATTCTGTTTTATTGATTCGACATCAGCTACCTTGAGTAAGATGATTTTTTAAACTGCTTAAACCAGACTCAAAGATTATCTAATAAGAAACTGCCCTGGTTGTGTCAAAGTTCATGTAGGTTGAAGGTGAATCACCACTGTTCGTCAAACTGTGATTTCGTTTGGAAATTCGATGAATTTCCGGTGTTTTTAAGAATACTTCTGCTTGGATGAACTTATCACACCTATTCTATTACATAATGTCCTGTTTCATACAATAAGCTGCCTCACAATTTTCAGTGTCAAATCTTAATTTCGCGAGCAGTGAGTCATCCGTCTGCTTGAAGTTTATTTTTACTACTTAAACAAATTATCAGTA